AACCCCTTAATGTCTACTAATGTTCACAAGCTATTTGGTTCAAATTCCGTCTGTGGGCTGGAGAATTTCTTTCTAAATATATAAAGAAAAAGTCGCCATAAGTTCTAACGATTTCTTAACTTTTTAAATTTTGTTATACCCATTTTAACAGTTTTAAAATATATAAATACAGTTTTAATAACGAATTCAAGAAATGTACAAATCATTATTAGGCTATTAAATTTATGCTATAACATTTGTGAAACAAAATGGCGGATGTTTATGATTTGCGATTAATACGTGCAGAATTAAATATTAATACTTGTATATAGCAAAAAAGAGTTAAAGGTAACATTTAAATATAATGGATGGGACAATTAGATATGATGGGGAATCTGTTGAAATAAAATTGAGTTAGTTATGATGTCTACGATGTGGTAGTATTTGTATGAAGATTTTTAAGCAAATCACTTGCTTCAATCATCAACTTGATATCAAATCGCTAAATTTCTCTTAGGAGATGTTTGACTGGTAAGGGTTTATATTTTGTAATAATTCCAGTTCAAATAGTAGATGAGACTGGTCGTTTAACGAGTCAGCCATAACTATATAATATATGTAACTCGTATGAACGTGGAGCCTGAGGCGATGGATTGGTGTTTATTGTATATACATTTGAGAAATTAACGACTAAATATAGTTAATGCAGATAGAAAATATGTTTACCCTTTTCCACCAACATTAAATTCAAGTCCTTTATTAATTTTGTGTATTAAAAACGTTGAGAAAAATAAAAAAAAATATAGTAATTTTGATTTAATTTGTTTCAATTTTATATAATATTTCCGCTAATTGTAGATTTCTAAAGATTATATGAGATTATTCAAAGAGATTTCATATGCAATTCGTTTATGTGGGTTGGCAAAAAGGCTGGCAATATAAAGTGTATTAATCGATAGTTCACCAGATATATCCATCCAAAAATGTTCAATATATTAAATATGATTTGGAATATTATCAAAAAAAATTTAAAACACTTTAAAAACGTGATATTTAATTCACGTTTCAAGAGATTTGATTATATTGCAGTGTTCTTATCAAATAAAACACTAAATGAAATAAAATTTCCAGTTACGCTTGCACTAACATCAAAGTCAAATTTCCGCGAATTCACACAATCATTGCGTGGGAATATTATAGACCGTATAGTGTTCTCTTATAGTATATTTTTATTATTTGAATTATAGTATATATATTTCATCATATATTATTTATGTTTCATCCAGGAATTCATTGCATGAATGAATGTCCCGACACACAAATAATATATAGGATACATCAAGATCCGCTAACCTCAAAAACTGGTTGTCCAACGTCAACTTGCGAACGACAAATTCAATGAAAATGCCGCAATGCCGTAATTCCGTCTTTTTGATGTTTGAAAAAAAAAGCGTAACACATACCTCATCATCCACTATATAGCATCCAATTGGGAAACACTTAAAGCACTGATATTTACTACTAGCAATTGTAAGCCGGCTTTTACTATACTATCGACGCGGAAGCAATAATAAAGTTTAGGATAGTATGGATTCCATGAATTCACCAAGTAACGAATTGTATTCCAAACATTCTGATGCTGAAATGGTTTAAGTATGTCTATGATTTAGGTCGATTAGGTTATACACGATATATTTTTAGCAAAGAAAACGCATGCGCTAGTATCGACCCTTTTTGTTGAATTTCTCAATGGGTGACGTCACTTTTTGGGGAACGAACCCCTTAGACTTCGTAGTACGCATTGGATGTGTGGAATTCATCGACTAGAACACCGCAATGCAATACACTCTAATGTTATAAATCATCTAATCAAATCAGATAAGAATGGGTAAAGAGTATTACCACGTATCAATAATAGAAACGTTTAATATATCAAACTGTGTATACTGAGCTAAATATTTTTACCAAAATAACCTCATATTTATAAATTAATGATAACGTCAAAATGTATAAATAACAATAACTGGTGAAACCCGGGCATCTTCTATATGTCACTACAAGATGGCATTCAAACCCACAGCTGTAAGGCTTCTGAAAACAAAATCGATATTGTAGTCTTGCTTTACTGGACACAATAAACCTTGTATTTATGTACTCATCCCAAATTCCACAATTTAGCGAATAATAACATATAAACGTTACAACTATGTCAATAAAACAAGTATCTACTGAAATCGGTGAAACGACGTCAAAGCTTATAACCAAATTAGTTATTAATCTATATATTTTAATCAAAACAAATTCATATTAATACAAATGTATAACTAGAGTTGTAGTCTCACTAACCAAGTTAAGTAAATAATTCGAATATGAAGTATTTTAAACTAGCGTAAACTTAAGATTGTGATGGATATAACTTGTTATCAGTAACCTTGTTAAGAAATATTAGAAAGCTTTATATTCCGAATAGTTTTCATACATTGAATTGCAATAGGATTATTAAACTGTCTAGTAACATTATTAATGAAGACATGTTTTGGAATTCTAACACCGTAGTATTGGAAAAAACAATTAGTCTGCGGTCTATATAGCGGTATTGAAAAAGTCATGTCAAGTCATTGGAAAAATCATGCAATAAATTATCACTAAAATGCTCAGCTCAGCATTACCCCATTTTTTAACATCAAAAATATCATTGACACAAATATCTACATTAAACAACAACAAGATTGGAAGTATTTTTTTGGAAAATAGGATAACATTCGCGATGTTTAAGAAAAATCTGGTACGTATTCCTATTTCCCGCGAGATTTATCGACTTTTACCGTCTGACTTCCGACAACAAAGAAAATGCGCAAAAGACTTTAAAAGGTTTCATATAAATACATTTATTTGCACTAACAAGTTCTAAGTAGGATATATGAGTAATAATTCTTGTTAATTAATTAATCTGTTATTTAAATAAATGAGAAGTTTATTTTATTAAAAGATATCAATTATTAAATAAAAATAAAATCTTTATTATTCATGCTAAACCATAGATAAAAATGTAGACCAAATAATTACAGATATCTCAAATTCAAACTTTGTTTTTATCAAAATTTGCACACGCTTATTGGAATTATTCCATCAGCGTAATGAAGAATCTTGTTAGTCTACATCAAAGGCTGGGACTGTTGTGTACCATCACGTGTGTCCTAAATTCTAATAGAAACACATAAAAACCACGTTCATACAAGGGTATCAAACTTAAAGCTCATATTTTTGCAAAAGCAGCTCTCTATACTATACTTTGGAGGGATTAATTAGTAGTGATGCAACGGATCTCTGTTTCAGTTTCCGCTAGTGCGGGAGTTCCGCGCGCTTTTCAAAATTCGTTTCTGCTTCTGTTTCCGCTACTTTTATAACGGAGTTACAATCGAAAGTTTACGACGGCTGAGAGTTAGCGAATATTTGTCGGTACCCCCCAGCAGCGTTGCCAGTGAGCAATTATTTAGCGAAGCTGGTCTTATATACGAAGAACACCGGAAGAGATTGTTAGGTGCAAAAGTGGCCAAATTACTTTTCATAAAATATAACTTACTTACTTTTGAATATTAATAAAATGTTCAGTTGCAAAGTTGCAATATTGTTTTCTATAGTAGTTTTAATATATCTATTTCTAATCTAGATTTGGTGTATTTGATACTTAATAAAGAAATATATTTGTTATTTTTTTTATATTATTAACACTTCCGTTTCTGGTTCCGCTAAGACGCTTCCGTTGCATCACTATTAATTAGTAATTATTTTTATATATATGCATTATTCACAACGAAAAATTAAGTGGAATGCACCAATGTTATAGTCTCAACATTCGGTCTTGAGCACCATTGTATTGTGAAGGTATATGAAAGGTATGGGAATGTTTTTAAAATTTTATTTATTACAATAATAGCAACTTCCTTCAAATTACATCGGTTGTAATATAAATATTATTAACATAAACTAATGCATTGTTTTACTGTACATTCGTTTTGCTATCTTGGTGGCTGTCAAATTTCAATGCAATAAATATAGTAAGGTATCCCATTTGGTAAAAATGGTGAAAAACTTTTCTATTTAAAAAAAAACATTCTGACGTTTTTTAACAACAATACGTTAGAGTGTTTTATCCCATTCAAGTTTTGGTGAGCTTTAATTTTTTGGATAATGCTTGTTTATTTGGTAAGTAATTGAAATAGATTTGACGTTGAACTTTAATAACCATAATGTATACCTAGTTAAGCGTGATTTTCAACCAATGCATCCGACTAATGACAACTTACGACCCCCTCTGCGCTATTTGAAATTTTCTTTCGTAGTGAAATTTCTCGTACGGAAGAAAAACATCGTGAGGAAACCAATTAATTATATTGAGGGTCGATGCGAAACGCGGAATATCTCCGCTTGTAATTTATTATCGCCTATAGTGCACATAATGATGTCCGATAATTATCAATTCTCTATTATTTCTTGTTCTTAAAATGGAATCAATGTTTTTGTTCACTTACCTGAGGTTAATGTATATAATTAATTATAGTTTTATGAATTTCATGTGAGGGAAACTAGTTGGAAGCTAGTCTTTATAAAAGCCGCAATGTAGTTTTAAATAACAAATGAGTTTTCTCTTTGTCATATGACAAAATTAACTAATGGATTTTAATACGGGTCTATCTGAAAACTGAACAAATAATATATATCTTGATACGAGTAATTAAATTAAGTGCACCACTGTATCAATATGTTTGTTTGCAACTTTTCAATAAATACAAAATAATCTTCATGATGTTTAATTAATTAAATATTGTGAGTGTATGTTACACGAACTTTCAAATTAATCTTCTGAAATGTAGTAAATATGAACACATAATATAAAATTAGTAATTCCTTTAAAAGACATTTTTATGCAATTTATTAATAATAACCTTATCGAAGTAAACGCCAATCAAATTTGTACTTACGATCTTAAAAAAAAAATTGTAAGCATTATTAAAATAAAAATGAACACAGCTCAGTTTATTAGCATTGTTGAGGTCATTCAAGGGCACTTTGAACGTAATTAGTCAATGGTGAACATAAACGATCATTCGTGTAGTAAATATATTTATTTGATTGCGATATAAAACAATTAAATATTCTAATTGTTATGCATCTTTTGAGTAAAAAAATTACGTTTCGTTGTTAATTAGGCCTGTCAAACTGCACAAAAAGATTTATGACTAAATGAAATATATCTGAGCAAATTTCGTTGGAACTAATGGAATGCCTTTTTTTCCAGAAATATTTCTACCCAAGGACTTCTTTGAGACACACAACATATACAAGTAAACATTCTATATTTTGCTAGTTTAATTTTATATAAAAGTAAGGCTTTTGAATAATATATTTCTAAATGGCAATACAACTCGACAGTTAAACAAGATTATTTACCGCATTGGGTTACTTAAAATGTTTTTATTTTATTTTAGTATGTACACGGCATCAGAGCTTCACAATACACCACCACAAGTACGACTGCCTCGTATTAGGAGCTGGTGGAGCAGGTTTGAGGGCAGCTATAGGCTTAGCGGAATCGAAATTTTCAGTGGCTCTTGTAACGAAAATGTTCCCAACCCGCTCACACACTATCGCAGCTCAGGGTGGCATGGACGCATCTATAGGTTAGATTTTTTTGAAAACACATAACATTAGATATTATATCTTAGGTTTAATTAAAATACATAATGTCTTTATTTGGTACCTGTGGCGTGTCAGACTACCAACTTCACACGGTGAATGTATATGGAAATTGATTGCTCATTGATAAAGTGTTTTAATTGTGATTTTTTTAATCAGTTCTCTGCAATTTACAGTGAAACAAAACTCATGAATATTAAACAATTATTCCAATATAACACCAGCTTACTAATATACAAAATTCTAAACGACCACATACATACTATCATTACCTTTACTAAAATAAGCCAAATTCAGAAGCGCACTTCACGACGCCCTCACAATCTTGTTATACCGAAGTTTAGAACTAATAACGGTAGAAAAACATTGAGCGTTGGGGGAGTGTTGCGTTACAATAGACTACCACAAAATATAAAAAGTGCAGACAGCCTGGCGATATTCAAACTTAAACTAAAAGACCATCTTCTGAGTGATCCTAATTACCTACGCAAATGACAGTCCACCAAAATTATACTTCGATGATTGATCCTTGACGCTTAAACACGACGTGATAAATTGTATTTTTAGTCTATAAGTCTCATGTAAGTGACCATTGTCTGTAATGAGAAAATAAATGTCTTTAAACCTAACATACAAAGAACAAAATTTGTTCTTTTTCTTTCCATGTTGAATTAGAAAATTTCAGGTCCGCCATGTACGGGAGGTATTTGGATACGTATTAAAGCAATAAGATCTCGAGTATGACTACCTATTTATTATATAAAACATATATTAAATATCAATATAATTAGGTTACACGTGGAACGTTTACATACATAGACATACGTCTTATACACTACAATCATGATTATAATATTATTGTAGATAATTTAGTATAATCTAGTAATTTTACTGTGTATATTAATACCTTTGATAGTTTCACCTATCAAGCATATCACGCATACTCGATATAGCAAGGGTATTGGTTTACATTAATAGCATATTCTAATGCAATCGACGTACATTTGTCTCTGCTAATATTTTGTATAACACTCTCGGACCTAATTATACTTTAATGAATTTTCTATACATTTCTTCAGTTAAACTCAGAGCGTTGTTGAAATTTTTCATACAATATTTACTAATATATTTTAGGTTTAACATTTTACGCTTTGTTTATTCCAATATTGTCTTCATATAAATATTTTCATAATGTGCGCTATTTGCTATTGCTTATTTTTCAAAGTAAATATAATATACTAGCGCTTAGAGAGTGAGTCTTTGAGTTTCTACATGTTAAAATGTAATATTATTTAACACGTAAACATAGTCGGAAATCTGCGTAAAAAGTCCACTAGAATATGGACCCTGGAAAGCAGGGTCCTTGAAGCTTCTGTGATACTTCAAAAGCGCTTTCAATTACTGAGAATTAGTCAACGTTACGTAATACCTAACAAAGGAAATCTAACAACGAATCCTAATTTTGACGTCTGTCTCTCAATATCCGCTGTCACAAATTTGGACAAAAATGCAATATGTAGATCGGAATTGCTATTGAAGTTACGTGGAACACTTGACGATTTCGATAGTATCATTGAGTTTCCGTTTGATTGCGAATTCAGCGCTACGGATTAAAATTCACTATAGTTTTCGCGAGGACGTTCTTAATGGGCCTTAGAGCCTATTATAGTCATAAAGCAAAGAAGTTCTATTGCGCTCATCTTCTTTTTCGTTTTTCTGAAACAGATCGCTTGCTGGTGATAAGGCCGCCCGTTGCCTTCCTAATCATATATATAACCTGATTTTATTTGTCTTAATGCAACGAAGTTCCTTTTCTGAAGAAGTCCGAGACGCAAAATCATGACATGCTCCCTTTTTCTCGCAGTTATATGACTAAATTTATTTATAAGAAACCGCATTATAATAACCGTGCTTTCAAGTTTTAGAATAAATAGCTGAAGTAATAGTTATAAGTTTGTTTATAATTAATACATTTTCCATATATACGTAGAGCCATGATGATTGTTTTTTTATAATAATATATGCTTTAGGAAGTATGCACAAAGACGACTGGCGGTGGCACTTTTATGATACAGTTAAGGGTTTTGACTGGCTTGGAGATCAGGTAATTAACTTCATTTTATTTGAAGGCCGGATGTTTCAACATTCCGTAAAAATAAAACGTTGCCGTCTGCCTCGGGGCTTAATCGAATGCAGGCAAACGCCAATTTCCGAATAAAAATAGTACCGGGAGTTGTATATATTGCTGTGGAAAATTTATTATTTTAAATATCTCGAAACTGTAAAGAAAAATAGATAAAAGTTTAGTTTTGTTAGAATATTATAATAAAAAATATTCCGGCAGTATATTTAAAATTTTCAAAATTATTAGGTAGTTACCCATAGAACCATGACCGGAGATACACACACGTATTCCTTTCAGGACCTGTCACTTTTTAAAGTCGGGAAATCTTGAAACCTCTTTTGTACTATACCTACCTATTTATATAAAATAGCATAAAAGATAGGCTTCATATGAATAGAACTAATAATTTTAGAAGGCAAGACAATCTCAGAAGGCTTATTTTTTAAGAAGTGATACTTCTTTAATGAGAATCTTAATATTATAATATGTATGAGATCCACGTCGCCACCATACAGCCGTCCTAATTTTAAAGTTTTCTAGGCTCATTCTGATGTGTATCTTTAATGCCCCTTTAAATTAATGAAACGCGCTAATACTTCGAATTTTAGACGGTAATTTATGAAATAATTATTGAAGAGGTAACACAAATAGTTTGTACGCGGAATTGATAATTTAAATCGAAGGAAGAGAGCACCAAGAATTCAAATCTAAAAAAATACACGAGATAAACTTCCATACAAAAGTCAACAGGAATGGCAAGCTAAGAATAATTCACAAAGGGTAAAAAATTTAATAGTCTAAACAACATTCGAAAATAACGTTTAATTTAAACCCGATAGCACATACTACTACTGAACTATAAGTTGTTAAACTATAAAGTTTTTATAAAATATATCAATACTATAATTATTAGCGTTTAGATTTTTTTCTTTACTGAGACGCTGGTGTAACGTATATTATATCTATATGTTGAGTTGCAGTCATAGAAGGTTTTTGAAACAATATAAATAACGATAGTGAAATATTAATAATAGCAATAAATAATCCGTAAGAAGTATTTTACACATCATTCGTACTTAACTAAAGTACGTACTACGTATGTGCCTATTTTCATTTCAGAATATGTTATAATGTATATTGACTAATTAAAATAACATTGGCAAAAATCTGGAGAATTTAATTTGCGTGCACTTCTCGTTATACAACTTATTTATAATATTCAATAAGTTAATAGTATATTAGTAACTCGATAGTTAAATTAGTGGAACATTTTTACAATACAATTTTGAGATTAATCTCAATTTTAATTGGTTTCTAAGCCTATTAAAATGTTTCTCTACTTAGTTATTTTCGCTAAAAGTAGAATTTATATAACTTTTCATAATAATCTATTTTATTGTTGAAAATAGATTACTAAGAAACACTTATCTAATTATATCCAGGAAGCGGATTAAGCGGATTTTATTTTGTTATTCAATTAAGTGAGGCGTAATTGTTGCCAGATCGTCTCGTCCGTTCTACGTAATAATTGTTTTGAGAAATGCTAGGTTAAGTCTTTATAATCTGTTTATAAACTGTTTTTTAATCTTTATTTTTTTATTGATCTTAACGATAATTTGGATTGTTTTTAACTTACTATACTGAAACAAAGAAAACATTTTTTTCTATTGCCAATAACAGTTATTACTTTTACAGTTCGTTAGTATTAAAGATAAATTTAAAATATAAACAGATTATTTGAAGTGGTCTTCATTGCAATACAGTCCTTTAAACGTTGAGAACAGTTAGCACGCACTCTTTCCTTGGCTACATTCATTACTTCCAATCGTACGGATTGTTTTAGGGACTCCAAATCATGGCGTTAAGAGCAAGCCGTACTTTCTAAAACTGACCATAAATCATAATCCAGCGGATTAAGATCGGGACTAGAACAAATGTTATATTTTGTATATATTTAATTGTAACATTATTTATGGCCAGACTAAGTATGTAAGTCTTCTTTATTTTATACTATAATAATGCAATCCATATTTGAAAATACACTTTTAGTACGGGCCACGCCTTACTCCATACTCTCTACGGGTATAGCACCTAGTTTAAGAATATCAAGTTGTTCAGCGAGTTCTTTGTTTTGGATCTGCTTATGCAAGTTGGAGCAATCGTTGGGGCCCTTGCGTTGGACATGGATGACAGTAGTCTACATCGGTTTGTAAATCACTTGAAAATTATCAATAAACACTAAGGTATCACTTAACATCAGATGAACCTCCTGCCCGTTCTCCTTCTGTTCTATAAAAAAAATTACTCAACCATGCAATTTAAATTAATCTGTGGAATTAAACTGAATTAACTATATTTCTTAAGAATAGATGCTGCGGTTACTGCGTTCATTCGTTAAATACGGCTAATACAATAATTATTGTTGAGATTGTACCTGAGTAGTTCCTGAGATTCACGTGTTCAACCAAATAACTTTAATATAAAAACATTTTTTATAACTAAAATGAAGACGCGTTTTTAGATAAAATAGTAGTGTTTTCATTTAATTTAGTTTTTGAGTATTCCTAGGTTATTTTAATAACATAACAATATAATGAGTATAGTAAAAAATTAAGAGAAAAATATAATGATTTTTTTCATAATTCTTGATATTTAATATTAATCTCGACTTCATGGCTGACGAAACCTTGAAGCTACTGATCACCGAGCGCAGCAATTCCTAAAAGGCCGGAAACGCACTTGCGAGCTTTCTGGCGATATGAATTTCCACAGGCGGCGGTATCTTTTAACGTTAGTGGAACCTCACGCCCGCTGGCCCCGTGTATTCAGAAATAACACGTTACCTTTAAAATTTAGAAATCCAATTGAGTTCCGGTATTTTTAGTGTATCGCGTATTTTTCGAAAACGAAAAATAATATATTTCACATGTGCAAAGCCTTTGAACATACTGCTAGTCTGTTGAAGGTGATTATATTTCCACTCTGCAGCATCGCGTAATAACTCTTTCCTGTAGAGTTTGATATAACGTTGTTGCCGCTGCTATTAAAATGTATTTTTGATGACTAGAATTGGTTTCATTTACAACACCTGCAATATTCTAAAAAAGGAATATTGCTGATGTTGATCTACAAAATTGAACTACGCAAAAAATACACATTTTCAAATTAGTTGACACAACTTAGTAACAATGACATACCTAAAAATCTTTCTATATGCTTCTTTATTTAAAGAAGGTAAGATTTAAACCACTTCCGACGACGCGAGCGATCACTTACGTTTGTCCCAAAAGGTCCCAAAAGCTCAACGGCGGGATAGACAAATCACGGCGATACATTGAACTTTAGATTTTTAAAAGAATGCAGATCCTGGTTTGCCAGGGTTATCACGTATTATACGTAAATCTAATCTCAAAATTCACTGTTTGATTAAATAGAATTAAAACTATTTTTTTATAAGTAATAATTTTCATACCTCGTTCAATGGAGTATTGCAGTTCTGAAATAGTTTCCTTTAATAAAGTGAGGTTGGGAAAGTTACATGTACAATTACAGGTTTCAAGCGAAAAACACAGTGATAGCTACCGGTGGATATCCAAGAATGTATTTCTCGTGCACGGCTGCCCACACATGCACGGGGGATGGATGCTCGATGATGACCAGACTTGGCTTTCCTCTTCAAGACATGGAGTTCATACAGTTTCACCCGACTGGTAAATAATGAGCAAATCTTTAACTTAGTATAATTGGATTTTCGATTTCTCTGATGGTCTGAAACACTAAGCTCAGGTAATCAGGAATTTATCTCGAACCTACTTCGAACCCTTGCAGTGTTAGTGTTTGTATTAGGAATTGAGTCGTAAGTGTTTGGGTGGTTTTGAGATGAATACTAGGATGCGGCAACTGCTGCTGTACCTAATTTTAGTTTGTTAGTAATTATTTATTTATTGAAAGTTTATTGTCCTTAAATCAAAAATGGCAAACCGCATGGGCTGCGGGAGTCTCACTCACCGCACGAAAGTAACAGAAACATGCTTATTGTGTTTTGCTGAATAGTAAAACTTAATTTTTAGTTTATCGGTTTTAAATCTTACGTATGTCATTTTAGAATCCACAAAAATTTAGAGTCACAGTTTATTACAGAAATTGTTAGTTGACCGTATAAAGCGAAGTGTCACTCCAATTTATAAACGAAAACTGTTCACTTAAGCAAGACAGTCACCAATCACATACAATTCACTTTAAGAGAGTCCGTTTGAGTAAATATATCAAATATTAAACTAAATAATTTGTGTATAAGTCTTTAAATTTCACCAGGCATGTATGGTTCTGGGTGTTTAATGACGGAAGGTTGTCGAGGCGAGGGTGGATATCTTGTCAACAGCGAGGGTAAGCGGTTTATGGAGAAATACGCTCCGAAAGCTAAGGATTTAGCAAGCCGTGATGTTGTCTCTAGATCTATGGCTACTGAAATTAGACAAGGTATAAAATAGCTTAATTAGAAAATATTGTTACGTAATTACCGATACGACATATATATATATATCCGGTAGCTAATAACACACAGGAAAACACATCAATAATTTACTACCCACGCCCATGAATACAGTCCCAACATCGTTCCCCGTAACACAATACTCACAAAAAATCGTGGCAATTTTTTTATCAAATAGCAAGTCTGCCGTGCCGTCCTCATACCGTGACAGCCGATTTTACAGCTGTACTTCATTAAAATAGACTTCTACCTCTTTTAAATTTTATTAAATTTTTGAAAGAAAGTGAAGTGAACATATTAATGCAATTACTTAAAATTTAAAAAAAAAAACTTCTAATACTTATAGTTCAGATGCTTCCTTAAACCAATCGTTAAGTAATTGAGTATTAAAATTAATTACTGAATTTAAGGCTTTTTGATCGATTATAATTAGTTAATCTAGCGTCAAGGATAATTGAATAGATACAGACGTGATATATAAAGCTTAAACATTTAACTTGTAAAATGTAGTAAAAACCTTTTTAGTTCGAGTTACTAATTGTTAGCTATGCGCGATGTTTTTTACCTTCCTGCGTATTGCTTTGATGATAAAGAGAAACATGAAAATTGTGTACTGCGATGTTTGCATTTTCTAACTCAAATACGCACTGCTGCGTTGCATGCATCGGTTTAGAATTTCACAAAGTGGTTAGCGGCGATAATAAAGAGAACTAAAATTTCTATGCGATGACAAAGAATAAAGTACTTATTCTTAAAAATATTAAAAAATTAAACTGCATGTTTTGCTCAATGCGCTGTTTGCTTTCATGATTTCAGATTTATTTCTTCGCTTTTTGTTTCGAGGGCTCTCACCGAATTGGGGACTCGCTGTGTGCTAAATTAAACTTTAAAAAAACTTAACGCTTTTAGGTATAGCCCCTGATTCTAAAGAGCAGGAAATAGAAAATTATATAATATACATATTTAATTTTTTATTCTATGACCCGAGAAAGAATAAGAAGTATAAACGATAAAACAGGGCTTTAAAACATGTAGCCCTTGCAAAATTTTTTTAAATGTCATTAAATGTTATAGGCCGAGGAGTAGGACCAAAGAAGGACCATATTTACCTCCAGTTGCATCATTTAAGTCCTGACGTGATTATGACGTGTTGCCTGGCATTCACGAAACTGCTTACACATTTACTGGAGTGGATGTGTTAAAGGAACCAGTGCCAGTCATACCCACGGTGCATTATACTATGGGCGGCATCGCCATAAATTATAAAGGCGAGGTAGTTATTTAGTATGCGATATATAAGTATATCTTGATTATAAGACCAAGAAGGAAACATCATGGATTCTCAACGTAAGGGAGTGGACGGGCCGCTTCAAAAGACTGACCGCCAACCTCCAGTAACGGAGAAGCACTAAAAGAAAAAGGAGCTTTCAAGTAAAGAGCGTACTATTTACCCTTTAAGGTCAGAAGCACACCCCCAAGCCCCAAGCGTTTCAGGTGTCCATGGGTAGCAGTTATTCAAAGCGCTGCTCGTTTTCCTTCTGCCCAGTAAGTGACATTTAGAAGCGCGAAATTTAAATTAATATTTAACACTTTCTTCTTGGTTTGTAAAGATTTCTAAGTCACCAGTAATCATTCATTGATTATTTATTACAAAAAAATATTTGGTCTTAATGTTTTCTTTTATTTTTAATTAACAGGCAATCATCAACAAGGGTAGCGGTGATCAAGCGATACCAGGGTTACATGCAGCAGGTGAAGCGGTGAGCAACTGTCATGGAGCCAACAGACTTGGAGCCAACTCGATTCTCGACGTCGATTTGGGATTTGGGAAGGCGATTGGCATAAATATCGGATGCATTGCCACTCCTGGTGATAAACAGCCAGAGTTAAAACATGTAAGCTCATCTTACTGGTCTTAAACTAGGGCGAATGGACTGATGTTGTTCTTGCCTCCGAGGTCCAACCCACATCATTAAAGAATGTGGAGGGCGGCATGACAGTGGAACGTGTGGCCAGATGTCGACGCTGTTACCTTATATATTTCCTGCCTCAGGGGCTTGCTGGTGGTGCGGTTGGGTTTTAATGGGTCACACTAGCTTAGTTACTTTCCACCATGGACTTACTTATAGGCTCAAGCGAGAGACAAACTATGTATAGCATGAACTTGCATCGCGCACGTATATAACATCATTTTAATTTTCTGTCGACATAATTAGGCTGTGGCCTGTGTAATCAATCGTTAGGAATTAAAAATAATTTTAATGTATTCGAGTTAACAAAACACTCTTAAAGGGTTGGCAGAAATATTTTATTAAATCAATACTCTTATTTGTCTTTCTTGGAGGCGAGTTCTCGAATATTGAAGAGTTTGTAGTCATGAAGATATTAAAGTGGAATATTTTCTTTTATTTTACTAATTGCAGAATATATGTGATGCATCTATTGATAACTTAGAAAAAGTAAAGGCTTTGAAGGGCTCAGTCTTCCCACACGATCTTCGTTTGAATATGAGAACTACTATGCAAAATAAATGCGGTGTCTTTAGGGAAGCGAAGTTATTGGATGAAGGTAAAGAAACATTATCAATAATTTAACTGATCACTTAAACAATTATAGTAGCAAGTGAATTTAGGTGGGTTTGCTAGTTACACCATAAAACAATGCAAAAACAATCTTAGGCTTATCTTTCGCGCCAATGAAAATGATCATTTGTTGTAAAATAAAATAAATTAAAGAAATAATATATGTTTATTATGGAACATAAGATACAGGTATCACTAAATTTGAATCGATAGATATCCCTACTCATCGGCAAAGAAGACAGAGGGCCGAGATAAAAATCCGGCGTAAAAAACTCTCGGTACTTTTTTAAAATCGCTAATCATCATACAAAATGACTATGGCAAACAACACTTATTTTAAAACAAATATAGAAAATTATATAGAAGTAGCCAGTCCAGCACTTGTCCCAGGCCCTTTTAACTAGATAATCGTTAACCTTTATAGTAAGCCTTTTTACTCAGCTTTTCTATACATAATACATTTCTTAAATTTATTAAAAGGCAGAGATAAAAGAGCGTCTGGGATTTATTAAAGAAAAGTATCCCTTTTCCCAAAAAATAATTGCTAACTTTAGATAATCTAGTACGGGGATATTGCAGCCTGCGTTCGTTCCGAGTATTAACATTATGGCGTAGCCTTATAGTCTGCGCCACGTTGAATTTGCCAATGTATTACGCGTTAGCAAACTGCCTACGTTGTCTGTTTGTTGTTTCGATAACTTTAATACTTAGCATCCATGGCAGAGCTTGATCTCCCTCAAACCACTTTTTCTTCACAGTGGGGTCCGAAGTAAACAAAAAGTTATGATTTGAAAAAAAAAATTATTTCGTATAACTTAATATTATCTTCAATACACTTAATAAACAACTATAAATAGTATGTCTAACGCAAGAACTCATCAGTACCAATCTAGTGGATATTATGAAAAAGATACAGAATGTAGATATTTTCGAATTTTAATAAGAATTAGTAAAAAAAAGTCAATTTTTATAAAAACGCAAAATAAATTATAACTCTGCAGCGGTTGAGCTTAGAGACCTCCCGTAGAACAATTTTTTGCAGCTGATGACCTCATCTATCCCCTATTTGCGTTTGATCCACGACTTTTTGACCATTCTGTATATGATAAATTATTTGTTTATTTTAACAATATTTATATTGCAGCCCAGGAAGAAATACAAAAGTGGTATGCGGCATTCAAAGATTTGAAAATTACCGACCAGAAGAAAAACTTTAACACCGATCTAATAGAAAGTCTAGAGCTTCAGAATATGTTACGGGCTGCAGTTCAGGTTGTTGCCTGAGTTAAGAGTACCAACCCTATTAATATATGCTTTGCTAGCACTAAGCCGAATGTAGGTCGTGCGTCAGCAACGACCAATACTTAGTAAGTAAATCTGAATGTATAAAGGCACGAAGAAATAGATATTAAGTTGATTATTGTTTAGTTCTTAATTAAGTGCTGTCACTCTGTTGATTTAAATAAATTATTTTTAAACCAAAAGTCCGTTGCCGTTCCTTTACTGGCGCAGCCGGTAGGATCTCCATAAGTTGCCTGGAAGAAGTTATACCGCGTTTTTTTCGTGATCTAGTACCAACCGGGTAACGTACGTTTTAACGTTTTAACGGAGATCGCCGAACAAATAAATAAGTTAAGGACAGCACGGCATCGGTGGAAGAGCAGCCAAGAACTAGCAGTATCCCGGAGGAGCATGGTCAAGATAACAGGACTGTGAGTAAAACTTTTCACTTCCCGTGACTTTCCTTGTTTTCCTCTTGTATTAGTTATACGTTTATTTCGGATTGGAAAACGCCGGAAAAATATTTTTATTAAACAATCAAAATATTGTTAATAGAAGTTAGGTTTATACAATTATTTTATAGGTAATTTTTTTTTTTATATTCAAAATGGAAAATATTGTAAGAGTACCTGTAGAAATGGTAAAAATTATTCCTGTTTTTGATGGTGATTCTAGATTATTACCATTATTCATTAAAAAATGCGAATATATTTTACAGACATTTCAAGGTGGCAATTTACAAAATGAATATCTGTTTCACGTAATTACTAGTCGATTATCCGGGAAGCCGCAAGTCTAGTTGGGGAACGGGAACAAATAGATACTTGGGATAACCTTAAGTTATTATTAAGCCAACACTTTGGCGATCCAAGGTCAGAAGATTGTCTGGCTATGGAATTAGATTCCCTAAAAAAGGATAAGAACGAAAGTCATTTAGATTTCTGTCATCGTGTCCAACATTTAAGGAGTATTTTATTCTCCAAAATAAATGAAACCATTGACAACCCCGAAATAAGACAGGCCAAACAAGCGATATATAATAATTCGGCATTAAACGTTTTCTTATTTAATTTACCAGCGTACCTTGTAAGATTAGTGAGATTACGTAATGTTACCACGCTGGAAGATGCTTTAAAAACCGTGTTGGAAGAACAAAATTTTCAAACGGTTTATGATAGTAAGAACCCAAGGTCCAATCAAAATTTTAGACCTAATTATAATAATTTTAATTCATTTCAAAATAGGAATTCTCATCCGAGACAAGTTAATAATTATAATTCTCCAACCCATAACGTCCAAAGGAACTCGAATGCATCTAATTATCAAAATAATTCAAATAGTTCAAATAATTTAAATAATAATTCTTTCCAATTTAGAAATGATAAAACATTAAATAATCGCAACAATTATAACACGGTATTTAGGTCACCGATAAAACAGTCGTCACAGCAGCGTCGGCATTTTACGAACAATGGATTACAATACCAAGAATCGCCTATGCCATCGACCTCTAATACCGATATTACGATGAGAACAGCCAGTTCAAGACGCGTTAATTACACTGATACTGATAATAATATTCAACCATCTTGTTCTTATAACTGTGAATCGAACCCGACTAGTTCGAACCATGAACAAATAGGAAATTTTTTTATGATAGCCTCAACAATACCGAAAAGATAAAAATAAATTATACAAAACTAAATTTACCTCATATAATTATTCCAAAATTAAATGCACTAGGAAAAACCGATAAAGATAACCAATCAATGGTAGTTAATGTAGAAAATGAAAATAGTAATTCTATGTCTTTCTCTGAAGCATCTAGGTCTGAAACAACTGGTCGTATAGATGAACGTGATATTCCATCTCGAATTAATTCCCGGTCATCATCTCGTACACTAACAAGTAACTCTAGTACAGACACAGTACATTCCGCAGATGATATGACTACAAAAAGTGTTCCTATTCTCAAAGAAGCCATAAATACTAAACCAAAACTATTTTTAACACATACATGGGATAAAAATGAACTCTTTGTCCAAATTAAATCTCATCCAAAACAAAATATTTCAGAAATATACTTACGATTAAATAATTCGGAATTCCTCAAAGAATATATTAAACCTAAAATTAAATATTTCATTTATTACGACAACAAAGCGCATCGATCATTGTTTAAGGACATAAAACGTCCCCCACAGGTTAGTCCTCGTAGGTAAAGGTTGCGAAGAATCCAGGCGTTCTTCCTCTCAGAGAAGAAACCGCCCTTATTTCATATGATAAGTGGATAATAATTAAGACATTAGATATTAAACTTATTAAGGAAGAATTAGAATTAAATATGCATAGATATATATAACTAAATAGAATAGTAGAATTACAGTTAAATACCAGATTCTAAATAACTTTCGTTACATTTATGAGAGCATACAAAAATTGAAACTGCTATTGCATTTAGTAAATTGCACACCTTACACCAATCTATTATTAATTCTACAGAGTTATTAGGCGTTTTTAAAGTGATAGAAAAACATGCACAAACAATTTATCCAGTAACAAAAAACAACTTACTTAAATTAGAACGTAATATTATATTAAAGTCTTATATTGATAAGAATAAATTAGTATTTGTATTAGAAATTCCTTTGATAGAATCAGAAACGTATAACTATTACAAGGTTACTCCTATTCCTATAACAAAATCCTCTAAAACTTACACAATTATTCCTAAATATCCTTACCTATTGGTGAATGGTTTGAAATACAGAAATGTGTTGAGCCCTTGCGAGAGCATAGAAGACAACAAATACTTATGTTCAGAAGAAAATATGGCAACAGACAATGAGGAAACATGTATCGAGGAATTAATGTTAATAAAGAATAATTACAGCCTATGTCATCAACATCAAATACGAATTGAGAAGCTAAAAATCCAGAAGATAATGAACAACAGCTGGTTGATATTCACAGCAGATAAGATAATTTTGTCGGAACACTGCAGAAACGACGTCCGTCGATTCAGTTTACTGGGGACTTACGTCGTGACGCCAAGTCAAGGGTGCAACATGCAAATTGGCAGAACAATCTTCGGTCAATCAAGCAATGTATCGGATGTGAATATACAGATGCCACTGGTGGTGATTCCCGAACTTCAGGAAGATTTAGCAACGGCAGATAAAAAGTTAGATTTGACAAACGTGGACTTCAGTGACGTAAAAGAAATGTTAAATAATGTGAGAAATAGCAATAGTGAAATAGTGGTGGAAAGTGTGGTGACACATAACATAAGTGTATGGACATTAGTTCTTTATTTTATAGTAGTAATAATAGTAATTGTTATAATATTAAAGTTTAAATTGTATTCTATTTGCAATAAAAGAAATTCTCCGAAGTCACCTTTAGCCCCTTCGGATAATTTCTCTCTTAGGGAGGGAGGAGTTAAGAGTACCAACCCTATTAATATATGCTTTGCTAGCACTAAGCCGAATGTAGGTCGTGCGTCAGCAACGACCAATACTTAGTAAGTAAATCTGAATGTATAAAGGCACGAAGAAATAGATATTAAGTTGATTATTGTTTAGTTCTTAATTAAGTGCTGTCACTCTGTTGATTTAAATAAATTATTTTTAAACCAAAAGTCCGTTGCCGTTCCTTTACTCCTGCGCTAGAAATCGAACAGAAAGCAGAGGTAGGTTTTACTAAGATTAATCCAATAAGGCATGTTTTGGAGGAAGTCCATCTATAGAAGAGAAAGGAAGTTTTGTCTTTCCAGCCCTTGGCCCCTGTGGCAACCACTTGGTCAGATCTCACACGCGATTTTGTATAGTTACAATTTATTTATTTTATCGGAATCAAAATAATAAAAAAACCCTTTTTTATTGCCCATAAGTTTGACAGTTGTTGTCTATACAATGTAACGATTATTTCCATTTAATGACAATTAGAGTTTGCAATGTACGTACTTATTATAATAATCACCCCTCGAATGGTCGAACATGTTTAAACCGGGGTTAAATTGTTTCAAGTAGGAAAGTCTGCTATTTCCCACCTATCTTGACTTGTACTGTAATAAACTAATTAGGATTTAAGTTATAAATACTATTTTCTACTTTCAATGAAATAAAGGTGTTTGGTGCGACAATAAAGTTCATTGTATTTATTATTTATAAATATTAACGTTTTTTTTAAATCCAATTAAATTATATCTAGATAAAATTAAAAATAGCTCGGGTATGAGTGGGTAGCCATTGATAGTCAATTCAATTCAACCAATTCCTTTGCTCTAACATAAATCAATGTGAATGTTTCAGGTGCACACTTTCGAGATGACTTTCCAAAGAGAGAAGATGAAATGGACTACAGTAAACCGACAGAAGGACAGGTATACTGATTTGTGCATATATATACATATTACATATATAACTCGAACATTGGCATGTGTAAGCCAAAAAGTAGAGGTTTGGGTGGCACGGACCAATCGGTTCAGTTTAGTAAACCGACAGACAAATTAATATGCCGCGCGGCAAATAATAACAAAAATAAAAATCTAATTAGATTAAAAAAACTTCGCTCACTCCAGTGAACTAATTTTTTATTTAAAATTTAATTTAAAAAAATTGTACTTATTAAATACGTATAATATAATTTACGTTCTTCATATGTAGCTAGTATCTTAATAATTATAGGAAGTTACTGTGTTTAATTTTCGTATGTTGTTATTTCCACAGACAGCGAAGCCCATAGAGAAACATTGGCGTAAACACAGCATATCTAACCTCGATCTCGCGACCGGAAAAGTAACTATTAGCTATAGACCAGTCATAGACAAAACCTTGGACGATGAAGTTCAGACGATTCCCCCTGTACCCAGAGTTTACTAGTATTTACTTTTAGTCTTAATGTATGCCATGAGAAAAAGGTTTTATGTTGGTTTTATAATATTCAAAGAAACTTATGAGCATTAATTTGTTGTGTTTTTATTTCCATTTGTACCTAAAACGTTCTAGGTTCGTTATAAATGTTGGCATAAGTTTACTTTATAAGTTTACACCCACAATCACACCCTGAGGGCCAATTAGGTGCAAGTAGTTTGCAGAAACGTGATATAGCGAATAATTCTACACCCTTTTGTCATCGAATTATTATTTATTGACATACGAGATTCACAACGCAACATCACTCTGAGATCCCAGTGCACTTCCAGGAATTTTAAAGAAACGCTTTTCATGTTCAATAAAATGGAAATTTCCTTTGGGTTTTACCTATACTTGGAAAGTATTACTGTTATAAAAATACATTTTACACTTTATTATTTTAATAAGAACGTGGTGAAAGAAAAATATTGAATCCTTATTGTACATTGTCAAAAGTAGCAGATATTCTTGCTTTGCGAAAATATTTTCGTTGATAGCATTTGTTCCTGTTCTAGCAAGCTCATATTTTGCTCTAGGCTATGTATAATCAATTTTTAACAGCCACGAAGCGGATCGTTTTTTTCTGCGAACTATCAAACGGATGTCTGGCAGCTTTACTGACTGTACAAACGAACGGTATGATGGTATGTCCGAACCAGACACGTCGATATTGTTCATTTATAGACTGTACCTTTACTTTTTAAAGTGAGCCAAAATCAAAGCAATGCAAATAGAAGCCGGAATTTGAAAATGCCAATAATTCTTTTGGTTTTTTTTTAACTTTGCACTAATTGGTCTCGGATATCTGTGTTTGTTTTATGAACATTCGCGTTTATAGGGAAGTAGGTGATTAGCTTTTAGTGCCCCGAGTCTCAGGTTTCCTCACGATGTTACGAATGAGCTTTGCGAAAGTCCACTGGTGTACAGCCGGGGTCCTAAACTAAGGCCTCAGGCCAACAGTGCTCATTAAAAAAAAAATATTGCAACTTATGGCTTCTTGGGGTGGGGTAATGCAGCTGAAATTAAATCGAGCGATTTGTGGTTTGTCCCCACGGGAGTCAGTCCGAAGGAAGTTTAAGGAATTACATATTTTGACTTTGGCAAGTCAATACATTTATGAGAATATTTTGTATGTGCGGAAAAATATAGATATCTTTAAAAAGAATAGTAGCTTCCATAATTATAGTACTCGTAATAAAGACATAATTAGCGCACCAACCACAAGGCTGCATAAAACGAGTCATTCTTTCCAAGGCAATTGTATACGTTTTTTTTCAACAAAATACCGAGTGAGATACAAGTGATATAAATTTTTCCAGTATAAAAAGGTAACGCGACTGAATCTCTAGGCTGCATTTCCAGACTCTAAGGCGATCGTTAACATCCACGACTTTTAATGTAAAGTGGGAACAAACCGTGATCCATGTGGTATCAAATAATTTCAGTATATTCTTATGTAGCCAAGTTCTACGATCCTTGAAATGTGAACGCTTTCTTAAAATGTCATTGCTTGTGGCGGCGTCCATGCGTCCGATGTCTCTCTCCCTAAAATATAGCGAGGGGGCCGATGGCTGGCCATGCGTCATACTCGTGAACGGGTGCTACTTGTGGTGAGTGGTCGTACTTAAATTTGTGTATGCGGTGACACGCAAATATATAGTCGAAACAACTTACTTGTTTCGACTATATATTAGGTCCTTACATATGAAATTGGCGTTTTGTATGGGACGAACAAAAAGTCGAATATTTTTAAATATAATATATTTAATTAATCAAAGTATGAACCATTGTTTTCTATGCACTTTTGCCATCTCATAGGTAGTTCATTGATCCCGTTACTAAAAAAAACAGTCGGACGGGAATCAATAAAATCTGTGAAGGCGATTTGGACTGCCCCATCAGAGTTAAATTTTTTCCCTTGCAAGAAGTTGTCCAAATTTCGAAAAAAATGGTAATCTGTTGGAGCAAGGTCCGGGGAGTACGGAGGATGTCTTAGACATTCCAATTGAAGCTCTTCTAATTTGGTAGCCGTCTGTTGTGCAGTGTGTGGTCTAGCGTTGTCGTGAAGTAGCAGTGGCGTGGAGCGATTGACCAGCCTAGGTTGTTTAGCCGCTAGCTTTTCCATCATGGTTTGCAATTGCTGACAATAGACATCAGCCGTAATAGTCTGGCCAGATTTGAGAAAACTGCAATGAACAATACCGGCACTAGTCCACCAAACGCTTACAAGCAACTTTTTTGGGGTTAATTTTCGCTTGGGGCAGGATTTGGCTGGCTGGCCAGGATCCAACCATTGCGCTGAGCGCTACCGATTATCGTAAAGAATACATATTTCATCACAGGTAATGATTCGGTTTAAAATACCTTCATTATTGTGCCGGTTCAGTAATGTAACGCAGCAGTCGACGCGCGTTTGCCGGTTTGCTTCAGTCAATTCGTGAGGTACCCATCTTTCAAGCTTTTTAATCTTCCCAATTTGCTTCAAGTGAATTAAAACAGTTTTATCTCTAACACCGCAGCGTGCAGCTAACTCGGACGTGGTTTGCGATGGATCCGCTTCCACAATAGCCTTCAATACTTCATTATCAACTTGGGTCTCAGGCCGTCCACGGGGCTTGTTCTGCAGGTCGAAATTTCCAGAACGAAAACGTTGGAACCAAAAATGAACTGTGTTTTCTTTTGCATCATGACCGCCATACACATCATTCACCCTTCGAGTCGTTTCCGCAGCACTAGTGCCACGGCGGAACTCGTATTCGTAAATAATGCGATACTTTAAGTTTTCCATTTTGTAAAATGAGTGACGCAAACAGAAAAAAACAGAAGAAAAAGACAAATGAATGACGGTCATCGAAGCACAAATACATGAGTAAATAGCTGTACAAATTTGAATTTGGAATTCCTTACCAAAGAGGAGAACATCGTGATTAAAGTGGCCAGTACGAAAAACGCCAAATTCATATGTAAGGACCTAATATTTGCGTGTTGTTCCCACGAGAATGTAAGTGCGTGCTCCTATTTCACCCTGCCTCAGCCATCAGCAGGCTGATAGAGGACAATCTTTGTTTTTAATTTATTTTATTGATATAAGATGACATGTGGAACATGTTGTAATGGTTGCAAAACATTTAAGACATAAAGAATGCTGCGATAAACTAACAAAACCTATTTCATTAGATCTTTCTAATGAAATAGGTAAGTACCATACGCTTAACTCAGTTATTTTAGCACAATAGATTCATTCATTAAAATGTATTTGTGCCATACAGCTTTACAAATTTAGATCGTGAATGTATTAGTCGTATCTATAGCTGAATTTATTGTGGACATCAAAGAATCAAGGGAAAATCGAACTGTGCAGTGTGCGTTGACACCTGTCGTACCTAATGCGAGTACCGTTGTATGAATAGGTCCGTGCAACCCTTTGTCTACGTACAATATGGATCGCCTTGGGTAAACTGGGTTGTTGTTACATGAAATCTTTAAATAAAAATATGGTGGAATTGTTTTTTAGAGAACGAGAGCGATTGCGCTACCGGCGTTTTACAAATTGAATCGCTCTAGGTCGATGCTACTTTACCCGCGTAGCAGCTATCGCCTTTAATTACTGTTATGTCTTTTTACGAACTTTATCCTCATGTTCACGTGACTAGATTCGGTCATAGTGTGATTTTGTAAAAAAAAAATAAGTCTTAGATTTCATATATTATGTATAATATATTAAATCGTATCGTAAATTCGTAGCTCACGAACGTTAACGTAAACGTAGAGAAAATGCTTTGACAGCTCCTAAGTGTACATTTTAGCTTGATTGACGTTCTAGATTAGGAGCCATAGTTTCTTAAAATCCATCTCCTTTTTAAGATGTTTAAAAAACAAGTATATTATATATTACCGACAAATATACATTTCCTGGCGAACAAGGCCGCAAGGATGTTAAAAAATATCAAGATAATACAGGATATAGGAATATGTAATATGTATGTATATGAAATGAAATAAAAAAGTATGCCTAAATAATGTATTTAATATATTATCTCTGTAGCGTAAAAAGAGCACGTCTATCGTTGTCATGCCCATGCTACGCCCTCGCCGCTCATGAGATCCGTGACGTGGGGACCCTGTAGCTGTTTTGTTTGTCTGGTAACGTTACATGAGTCACGAGTGATTGAAACGCAAGTTTACGTTCAACTTTAATTAGCTTTTCAAAGGTATTTTTGTAAAAGAAAAATATTGTTAGGCAAACACTTTTCACGAATTAAAATTATCAAGCACGAATCTATGTCACAGATCATTGACTAGATTTTACTAAGAACGCCACTGACAAGCAACGCAGCTGTACTGTCATTGTCATAAAATATATTATCTGTGAGAGCTTTGCTTTGCTCCATTTAAGCTTAAAGCTTTACCCCTTGGCCACAGTCACCTGCGGCGCGCAAAGCGGCGAGCGGCAAAAACAATTTTTTTTTTTTTTTTTGAAAGGGATCTCGCTGTTGGCCTTTAGGGCCTTGACAGCTCAGCTCGGGCTGTTTTGGCGAGCGTAGCTCGACCAGAATGAGCGTTTTTCCCGCGACTAGCGCAAGGGCGTCTCCTGTGAGACTCGAACCTCGGCTTGGGCCGTCACGGGGTGGTCAATCGCCTGAAGGGCAGGACGGAAACTCACTGGAGTGAGCGAAGTGCGAAGTAAAGGTCCTCGCCTTCCCCGGTGAAGGCGGTTTTTAACCCTAATCTGTGTCTGAATACTTTGATTGTTATTGGCCGCTCGGGCGGCTTTTAATTTATTGTTTGCTACGGTAATTGGATCATCCGGATCCGTTAGTGTGTGTCGGGGCCTCCTATGACTCTTTTTTTGTCGGCGGGAAGGGATAATAGTTGATGCTTTTACGCACCAAAGGGTTGGGATGGTGTTTAGCCTTGTCGAAGTGGCGTGCGGACGCCAACTTCATCCATTGGGCTATGGTAGGGAG